ATGGTATAGCAGTGGGCAAAGGCTGAGTAATTGTGTGGGATGCAGAGCATATTCGTTATTTAACTCCGGGCGGACGCAAAACCATTCCAATAGCATAAAAATGTATGGAGCATAGTGGAAAATCCAAGTTTTGTACTTCACCCTCTCAGCGTACCAGAATTACCGTCTCAGCGACCCTCGGACTCCCTTCGCGTCAGACTTAGCGTCTACAATCAATCCTAGCTTTGCCAATAGGCCTGACTCGTCGAAACTAGATAACTCCGCCATCGCATATCGATCCTAGTAAGCTCCGGATCTAAAGTATAAAATTCACCAAGCGTCTGTAGGCACGAGACTATTGTGTGGGTTCAGTGGAACTCCCCACCCGGGCTACTGGCGAACTTCGGAGATAAATACTCCGGAGAATCGCTATACTGTTTGTTTCAGGCCTCAAGATTTTGTTTGTTTTAGGTTTTCCTATGGGCTACCCTACGGCGTCTTACTTCTCCCCCTCCCTTCGAACTTAAATATTACCCTTCAATCGCCTTAGACCGCCTACACCCATACCGCTGGGTGTTTTAGGTCTTATTTCTTTTTGGTCTTTGATGTTGTCGTGTGTTAGTGCCTATCACCGCATGTGACACCTTTTTGCAGAACCCCCTACATGAACCAGCATCTCTCTCCTACGTTCCACAGGCTACATAAAAATGCACAAAAATAATGAGGACGTTCATCACTAAGTTACACACAATATGCGGAAGATCCGGTAAGAATCCGCCAAGTGTGCGGAATGCTACAGGCCGAATTCAATACTTTTTGCAGAACCCCCTCAATGATAGTACCTTTGACTCGAACTGTGTATAGACAGCAGCTTCGAATGGGGCTCCTCAACCTCCTGCAATGTATTGATAATTTCATAGACCTATGGTCCAGGACATGTATAACATATCACCACAAGTCTCGGAAATTTATATCAGAACTGAACAAGGCAGTCATGTTCTTCAAGCTCCAAATCTCCGGTCTCAACCACTCCTTATGAATTGAATGTCCTGCCACTTCTATGCATCCCTCTTTCCTGAGTGTTCAAGTTCCTCTGCCTGTCACTACTGTGTCAGTGGGCCGCCATTCAATACCATTCACCCTCTGTTTCCTTTTGTGATATGTTTTGATGTCATACTTCCCTTATTTAGGACTTTAGGGCAGGTTTCTCCCGATCTTGCAAATCTACTATGTAAGTTGTCCACATCAAGGATGCCAAAACCCACTACCAAAGGTAGCGGGAATATCTGGCTGCAAGGAACACGAATATCATGGCATTGCAGTAAATACTACCTGTATTCGAGGTTATGTACACTCCAGTTATATATAGCACCCAAGTACGAGGCTCTGCATTATATGCTAGAATTACTGGGCACATCTATCTAATTTTTGGGTCGCTGCACGTTGTTATCACGGTCGCTGCGAGATCAGCTTTTCATCCGATCATACGGGATTATGCAAGCAGGACCCCATGACTGCCGATGAGTGGCGGTCGGGGAAGTTGATTTCATGGAATCCTCCAGCTGATGCCCCCTGCCTAAAACCATCCGTCTCCGCGTTCTCGTTCCTCCTCTGCTAGGGTGTGGGACTTTGTGTTTATTATTAGTACATTATATAAGCTGAATACTAAAAAGGAAGGTGAACAAGAGGAAGAGATGGCTGGCCAATGTGGTCACCGAGATCACCAAAGGTGATGCGAAACCTGCTAAGCGAGCAGTAGGCGCTGAATAAACCCAGCGGATATAGGATTCACCTTATATAATGTACTAATAATAAACACAAAGTCCCACACCCTAGCAGAGGAGGAATGAGAACACGGAGACAGGAGCCTGGTAGGTGTTGAACTAGGCACTGACTAAGCAGCCAGGTTCTACAGCTTACTAGAACATACCGGAACTTACTGGAACATTCTAGTATAATCCACCACTGTATGGAGTTCATGTGGGTTGCGGAGCTCTATGTGGGTTAGTGACATCATAGGTGGAGCTTAGTAGGATTAAAGATATTCCACGTAGCTTAGTAAGCCTATGGGCCACAGTGTATATAAACCCTGCAGCTCTGCTGCTTTATGACAAGGGTTGTTCATACAATACTACTACAGTAGCGTTAGCATCCAATCCAACAGGTGAGTTGTGTAAGGTGCACTGTGCATGCTGCTGCCTCCATAACTCTTCATCCCTGACTCCCATGGTAGTTGGGAGGAGGGTTCTGTCGGGATGAAATGGTCGCTCCACCATACAACTTGCTCTTGCCGTGAGAACCTCATGTAAGCAATGGTCCTGACCGGACCGACGCCACATTCATTTCGACTTGAAGACAACTACCCACACACACCTGTGACCTGACGTGAACAATCAAGTGATGCAAGTTAGTAGTATAAGGATGCATTCAAACAAGTGAGGCTGATAGATGAGACTAGTGTCTCTGAGCGGGTACCATGAGGAAGCCCTTTTTAATACTGATGTACTAGTAGATATAAGACAAGACTATATGAATACTGTGTATGTGTCCATCAAGAGTGGCATTCTGCAGCTTGACAAGACACTAGTACTGGAATACTTAATGGTTTCTGACTGGAGTCGGGGATTGGCGCTTGCGCCGCTATGATCAGTAGGGTGGGACACTTGGTAATTCCCGTCAGCAAGTGCGCATGGCTGGCTCGGACAGTGTAAGGTACTCAGCTTACTTAAGCGCCTTACTAGAGTCGTTCTTAGACAAGGTTCGAAGAGAGTCGCACAGTGCAATCACCAAACCAAGATCTATTGCGAAGAGCAAGAGAACAACTGAGGTACATCGAGTAGAAGGAACTACTTATATACCTACGTTATGAGAAAGTCTTAGATAATAGTGTGGCTGTCGGAACCTGTGACAATGGAAGAATGGTTAGTCCGAATCCTCACATCCACCCTCCTAAGTATTCCAAAGAATACTTACACAAAGCTAAGAAAGAGAAGTTAGTTTTGATCCGCTCCAGTTTGACCAGCGGGAGCTGAAGAGGAAAAGTGCCCCGCAGGAGGGGGCGCCCGACGCATGGCGGCTTGACTGGACGAGAGCCCTCGACCTTATATACATGTCGCTGAGAGAAAATCGGAGGTAAAATACCAATAAATCCAGCAAACATTTGTGGATCATCCATTGGTGGCTTACCAGTTCCTACCGGCAAATCAGAGATCCTGGCAATGCCCATAGCCTCTAGGTAGTGTTCGAGAGGCTGGAGGTGCCTAATTGCCCCGTACTCTTCCCATGTTGTATCACCTGATCTCCACTGCACCTGAAACATGGCTGAGGCACCCTTACCACAATGGCTGAGGACTTTGTCTACTGCCCATTCCTTAGGTTCACTTCTGAGACCTAAGATTTGCTCGATATGGTGGGCGGGAAAGCGACGGTCCTCGTTTGGGATGTGGATCTTTAGTTTCGAAGCGTGGAACGCATCGTGAATGCCATGCCGTTTCAGTTCAGGTGAAAGATCGACGCGAAACATTGCACCTGGTTCAAGCACCTTTGTAATCCGAAAGGGGCCCAAAAACTTGGGTGCAAGCTTGCGGACAAGACCCTTCGGGAAGCGTAAGCCGGCCATCAAGATGTACACCCAATCGCCTTCCGCAAAAGGTGCAGGCTGCCGATGCTTGTTGGCCTGTTTGGTCTGCTTCACGCGTGCATTGATAATAGCATCATGTGCTACCATAATCGCGGACTTCATCATCTGTGCAAATTTCCGCACGCCAGGGTACTCAGACACAGTGGAGTCCCAAAGCAAAGCCACGGCCCTATCATGCGGACCTGTAGGTCCTTTTGGATGCCAGTGGCCCTGTAGTTGTTCTCGACATTGTATATCCAATGTTTGAATCGATCGTGGTTAGGTGTCCCGTCCCACTCAGAGGGCTCCTCAATTCGGACTCCCTTGGGAAGCCAACCTTTAGACCGACTCCTGGATCGACGTTTTCGAGCTGCTAGGAATAATTTTCACTTCATTCGTTTGCAATGTTTAGTAGTTGCGGACGCGTCAGAACGGGCGGTCGACGTGTCGCTGAGTGCGCTTACGTCATCGGAGCATGAAGATCCTTTGTTGGAATTGTCGGAGGCTTTGCCACCTGGAGGTTCGCTGGACAACAACTGCCCGATGTATCCGTCTTTCGGAACCTGAGGGCCTGCTCTGCCAATGCGGAACTCAGAACATTGGGTAGCTACATTTTGGGCATCGCAAACGACCGAAGAAGGTTTCCAGTTGTTGCCATGCGGTCTTTCTCCAGGGTCACAATGTTTTCCCTGGTTAAGTGGTTCATCAGGAGCGTCTTGCATTACCTTCTTGGCCTGTCCCTCGCCCTCCGGCCCTTCATTGTCAGCGCGAGGGGCTGTAGAATTATAACTGGCAGGATCAATCTCCACCTGACCATTATCCAAAACATTGTTTACACCACCTCGAATGGTGGGAGTAGGACTAGAATTTTTAACTAGATGGTAGTCTAGCAATGCATACCTTTCATTAGGATCCTCAATACTCTTAAGCATCTTGAAGAGGATGTTGGGGTGCAGCTCCCCTGGCGGTACCCAATCATGCGGGATGCCTCCACCCACGACACCATCCTCATCTCTCAGTTCAGACCAGTCCGCGTGGCGTAGCCTGAACACCGGGCTATCGAAGCTGCTGGATGCGAAAGAGCCTTCGACGTGCCCTACGGATGTCCGTCGGATAGCATCTCGTCCAGTTGTACGTAATTCTTGACCTTAGTCGAGGCCACGAGCCACGCGGTCATCAGGTAGCACAGAGCCAGCCTTCGACTCAACATTAGCAAAAACATCATCTCGCTCGACGCTCGCCAATCCAGGGGCGGCGGAGTCACACTCAACGCTGGCCACATCAGCCGCGGAGTCACGCTCAATGCTGGCACTATCAGCCGCGGAGCTCTCGACGCTAGCCTCATTGGCTGCGGAGACAGTAGGTAAACCGGTAGCAGACTTACCAGCTCGAGTACGACGAATCATGGCCTTCGTCATTTTCCAGGGAGCGCGCGATTGTAACAAGAGGTATACCTGAGAGCTACGAAGGGTTCGACAGACAGCGGGTGATCAGTCCGTGTCGTAGTCGGTTAGTGCAATAGAATGGTTTTGGTGAAAAAATGTAAGGTACTCAGCTTACTTAAGCGCCTTACTAGAGTCATTCTTAGACAAGGTTCGAAGAGAGTCGCACAGTGCAATCACCAAACCAAGATCTATTGCGAAGAGCAAGAGAACAACTGAGGTACATCGAGTAGAAGGAACTACTTATATACCTACGTTATGAGAAAGTCTTAGATAATAGTCAACGGGTGGACAATAATAAAATTTTAGACCGCATGATAGGAAATCCTGCTAAGGTCCCAGAGGCCCCCCCCTCCCCCCCGTGGGAGCGTCCCACGGTACCATATCGGGAAGGTAGGTCCCAGGCACATCCAGGTTAGGGTTTGCTTAGTCATCTTTCAGTGCTCCCACACGTCACTCCATTGTCACACTATATGTTGTCACGCTTTATGTTTTCTTCCGTGCAATGGCCAAGGCGAGGTTGTCCTG